AGGTTTAATAAGTTAGTGATAGTCCCCTTTTGCACCTCCTCCAGGAAGTCTGCCTGGCTTTTTGCATCTGTTTCAGACTTTCCAAAGCCCTTGCAACCGTGGCCCTATGCAAGTGTTGGTCTTGGTTTGCCTCATTCTCTCCCATGTCCATGGCAACCCTCACGGCCACCTCCTGAGGAGAGTAGAGAATACAGCAAACTGGGACCCCTGTAGCATAGTGACCGGGGCATGGTCCCCAGCTAGCTGGAGGTGGCTCCAGGACTAGCAACCAGCTCCCATGACTTCCAGTTCAGTTCCCTTTCCCCTGGGACAGGGGCTGGAGAGGGAGCTTTGGGGCACGTACAAGCTGTGTGATCTCAGGCAAGTTACTTAAACTCTCCGAGGCTCCATCGTCTCATCAGTCCAGTGAGGCTGACGGGCTTTGGGGGAGATGAAAGATCTTTTTTTTTTTTTTTTTTTTTTTTAATATATTTTATTGATTTTTTACAGAGGGGAAGAGAGAGGGATAGAGAGTTAGAAATATCGATGAGAGAGAGTCACCGATCAGCTGCCTCTTGCACACCCCCTACTGGGGATGTGCCCGCAACCAAGGTACATGCCCTTGTCCGGAATCGAACCTGGGACCTTTCAGTCCGCAGACCGATGCTCTACCACTGAGCCAAACCGGTCTTGGTGAGAGATCTTAACTCATGGCAGGTGTTCCTTTCTCATCAAAGGCAGGTGTCTGGCTGCACAGGCTCTCGTCCCTGGGAGGCAGTGACCGGCTGGAGGTGAGCAGCAGCTGCCCCTTCCATGTAGGATTGGCACGTCCAGTTTGCCACAGACCTCCCCCCCGCCCCGGCTCCCCATCGCCCTCCAGCACTGACACCCAGCAGCCTCCCCTTGTCCAGAGACAGTCTCCCGCTGCAGGTTCCCCCCTCTGCCTGAGGGGTCACCATGGACTTCCAGAGCAGCAGGAAGGTGAGTAAGAGCTGGCCGGGCGGGCGGGGGCTGGAGCACAGCTCTCCGGGGAAAGAGAACGGCGAGGGCAAGGCCTGGGCTTTCAGACCGCCCCTGGAGAGCGGCCACCTGTGTGCGGGGCCAGATGAGGCGGCGGGAGAGTCTTGTTCCTGGCCTGGTGCCTGAGGACGATGGGGCCACTGCGGGGACAGGTAGGGCGGCCGGTAGAGGTGGTGGGAGGGCAGTGTAAGCCCTGCCTCAGGCTCTACAGCTCCCCTGCCCCTTCCCAGAGCTCAGAGGCCAGCTGGAGGAGAGCTTGTCCAGGCCCACCTGTGTCCCAGCTCACCCACGTCCTAGGGCCACCCAAGCCCCAGGCCCACCCATGTCCTAAGGCCCAACCGTGCCCCAGGCCCACCCATGTCCCAGGGCCCACCCGTGCCCCAGGCCCACCCGTGTCCTAAGGCCCACCCGTGCCCCAGGCCTACCCATGTCCTAAGGCCCACCTGTGTCCCAGGGCCCATCTGTATCCCAGGCCCACCCATGCCCCAGGCCCACCCATGTCCCCGGGCCCACCCGTGTCCCCGGCCCACCCGGGCCCCAGGCCTACCCGTGTCCTAAGGCCCACCTGTGTCCCAGGGCCCATCTGTATCCCAGGCCCACCCATGCCCCAGGCCCACCCATATCCCCGGGCCCACCCGTGTCCCCGGCCCACCCGTGCCCCAGGCCTACCCGTGTCCTAAGGCCCACCTGTGTCCCAGGGCCCATCTGTATCCCAGGCCCACCCGTGCCCCAGGCCCACCCATGTCCCAGGGCCCTCCTGTGTCCCAGAGCCTACCCATGTCCCAGGCCCACCTGTGTCCAGGTCCAGGCCTGCCAAGGAGCCATGGTGCAGGTGGCACAGTGGGGAGCACTCTCCATTCTCCCTCCATCTGAGGCACTGATCTGAGGCCCTGATATCCACAGTTCACCAGGATGGCATCTGACTCAAGCCCCCTCCCTACCCATCCTCGCCCCTGGCACAGGTCCCGGGCTGGGCAGGAGGGGTGAGGAGCCAGTTCCTCACCTGAGGCCAGGAGCAGGAGGAGCGGGAAGAGCAGGACCCCCGAGGCCCTGGGTGGCGCCATCCTCGGCCAGCCTCGTCCACTCCGGCCGGAGCGTTGTGGCTGTGTGTCCTCCGGTCCCAGGCTCGGCAGAGCCGTCTGCCCCCACCCTCCCCGCAGCGTCAGCGCTTCCTGTGGCCTCTTCGTAACCCTTCCTGCTTCGTGGCGCCATCGGTTGGGTTGTGAAAGGTGGGGAACTGGGCAGTGCTCCCCTCTCCCCGGATCCTGCGACCACTCGCAGAGGGAGCCGGACTGGACAGGAGCAGCTGAACCCACCGGGGGACGCGCTCCGGGCCCCGCGGCCACAGAGGCCTCACAAGAGCTGGCCGCCGGGGAGTGATGGCGAGCGCGGGCTTTGGAGTCAGGCACACCCGGCTCAGACCTCCCTCTCCCAAGCTGGGGGCCTCTCGGAGCCTCTGTTTCCTCCTCTGTGAAGCAAGCGGCAATGGGCCGCTGCCTCCCAGGATGGGGCCAGAGTTGGAGGAGGCCCTTCCACGCGGGCGCACAGCCTGGCTACAGGGAGGGGATCGGACGGTGGAATCTGTGCTCTCTTGCTCACGCCTATGGTGCCCACGGTTCGAACTGAGCCAGGCTCCGTGCCCGCTGGGGCTGGGAGAAGGGAGGGAGCCAGCCCAGGGGCCCAGGCCCTTTCCCACCCGGATAGGCAGGCTAGGAAGGGGGCGGGGACAAGAGCACGGGCCCTGGGGATTGGCCGGGCCTGAGCTGATGTCTGTCCTGGCCACTTCCTGGCTCTCCTGAGCTGTCCGTTACTCTGAGCCTCTCACGAGGTGCGTGGCGATCTTATGAGTTGATGCCAGTGGTTGCTCAGCCACGTTGCGTGGCTATTATCGTCCCTATGGTGGCCTGATTGTCACTGCAAAATCACTGTCATCCCCGCCCAGAGCTCAAATTGTGGCCCAGGCAGCAAGTTGGGAAAGCAAACACACGTGGGGTGGGGCATGAAGAAGGGGGGGGCTGGCCACTTAGTCCCCAACTCTGGTGGCCCCAAGGAGTCCACTGCCACTCCGAGATCAGAAGGTAAAGGGCACTCGGCCAAGAAGGTGCCTGTCACCAGTGCCCCCTCCAGCTCAGGGGCCCCATGGGGACCCGCCCAGCCCCGACTGGCCTCTATCTCCACTTCCTCTCACATGGTGTCTGGACAGGACTCAGTCCCCAGCTGGGCCCTCTGGGCCTGAGGGGCGTTGGGAGGGCATGTCGGGGTCACTTGTGGGGTGTGGCGGCAGACAGGAATCTGGCATGGGGCCCCAGGCGTGTCCCCTGCAGGGAAGACTGGGAGGACGAACGGAAACCACTAGGCCTGACCTTCCTCCCCACCCAGCAGCTTGCTGACCACGTGAGGTCCCGACAGTGAACACGGGCTCTGTGAATCCACATGTGTCAAACGCAAGGCCCGCGGGCCAAATCCGTCCCGCCAGGCCTTGCAATGTGGCCCGCACCGCGCTGTCATCACTGCACTCCGCTGCGTTTCCATCACAATGACAGTTTATGACTGTTCAGTAAACCATTCGGCCCGAGATTTAGGCTGGATTTTAGATTTTGGCCCCTTCTCTGATTGAGTTCGACACCCCTATCTAGGCCCATCCCCGGAGACCCGTCCTGGCAGCAAATCCTCAGAGGGTCCGGGGCACGCAGCACGCACACACACCGCCCCGGGGCAGCTGGGAGCGGAGGGAGGAGCCACGGAGGGCAGAAAGCTCCAGGCGGACGGCACCGGCCTTCAAGGCCCGGACACGGAGAGCAACAATCAAACACGTCTGCTCCCCTCACCCAAGCGGACAGAGTGCACGTGATCTGCCTCACCGGGGCCACGGGGTGGAGCGCGGAGATTGGACTGGGCAAGGCTGGAGGCGGCGGTGACGGGAGAACCGGTCAGTCATTTCATTCTCGCAGCCCATGTACCTCCCGCTGGCCCAGAAACCGGTGACACGCGTCACGTGACCCGCCGAGAGCTGAATCGGCCCTCGGGTGTGACTTCCTCGGCCAGCGAATTCTTTTGGATTGGTCACGATTTTATTTTATTTTTTAATGTATTTTATTGACTTTTCACAGAGAGGAAAAGAGAGGGATAGAGAGCTAGAAACATCAATGAGAGAGAATCATCGACCAGCTGCCTCTTGCACACCCCCACTGGGGATATGTCCACAATCAAGGTACATGCCCTTGACCGAAATCGAACCCGGGACCTTTCAGTCCACAGACCAACGCTCTATCCATTGAGCCAAACTGGTTTCGGCCGGATTGGCCACGATTTTAAAAACCAAGGGATCTGACACCGCCACAAGCTGGGTTTCTCGTTTCTCATCAAAGGCAGGTGGTCTGGCTGCCCCCGTGGTCGGCAAACCGCGGCCCGCGAGCCACATGCGGCTGTTTGGCCCCCTTGAGTGTGGCTCTTCCACAAAATGCCACGGCCCGGGCGAGTCTATGTTGAAGAAGTGGAGTTAGAAGAAGTTTAGGTTTAAGAAATGTGGCTCTCCAAAGACATTTCAGTCATGGTACTGTTGGTATTTGGTTCTGTGGACTAATGAGTTTGCCGACCACTGGGCTGCACAGACTCTCATTCCCTGCGGGGCAGTGACCAGCTGGAGGTTAGCAGCGGCTGCTTCTCAGTGTTGGTTTGTCACGTCCAGTTTGCCACAGACCCCACCGCTCCCCATCGCCTCCCCAGCACTGACTCCAAGTTGCCATTCATCCTCCCCCTTGTCCGGTAGGTGTTTTGCTTTGTCCCCCCACCCCAACCCCCCACCACCTAGTCCTCGTCTCTCATTCACGTTCCCCTATCAGTGACTTTTAACAGCCGCCGAGAAGAAAACTCGGGGGGCCGTGCTCCCACGTGTTCACGTTGGCGTGTTAGACGATGACAAAAGAGCTGATTTTTAATTTTCTTCTTCACGCACTTCTACAACTTCCCACGTTCTCTACAACGAACATCACTTCCTTTTCAACACCGAAGACAAACGAATTAGTCCCTAGAAAGAAAACCCCTCCCCCTCTGGAAGGCTGAGATGCAGATCCGGGGCTGCCTCCTGCAGGAAGTCTTCCTGGATTCCCCCATCAGGCGGCTGGCTCCTCCCGACCCCATGCCTGTAGCTCCAGGAGCTCTGGTCTCATGTGCGCCTCGCACACGAGGCTAGGAGCTCACGGCGGGGGGAGAGACCAGGTCTGACCCTCTGTGTCCAGCCGAATGAACTGCGATGGGCTCTAGGCCCGTGTCACCAGCTGAGATGTGCCTCCGTCCGCAGAGTGCTGGAGTGGAAGCAGACTTTCTCCACCACGTGCCACGGTTCTTGCCACCAGTGGGCCTTGGGGTGGGGGCTGGCTGAGGCCCCCCAAGAGGTATGGGCTTGGCAGTGAACGAGGGTGATGCAGCTTACAGAGAGGTCCAGGTGGACAAACGGACGCAGCCCAGAACACCTGTACTAAGCCTGAGTCAGCGGCCCGCCAAGGCCCGGGCAGTAGGTAAAGGGTTACAGCAGGTGCAGGGCTGCTCTGGGGAACCAGGACCCAACATACACCATTAGAACTGGGGACCGGGCTGTGAGTGGAGGACAGGGGCGGGGGGAGGAGGGTGGGGAAGCTGACAGAGCACAGAGCCCTGAGCTCGGCGGCGGGGCAGCTGCTGCAGGAAGGGCTGGGGGTAGGAGTCTCCTCCTCCTCCTCCTCCGAGGTCTGAAGCTCGGCCCCCATCCCTTTCCCCGGGGGCCACCCTTGGTTTACAATGACGGGGACACCAGAAGCAGGAAAGCCACGGCCCACGTCCATCCTGGGCAGAGGCACGGCGCCAGCGGCTCTGCCAGGCCTCCGAGGCCCACGATCTGACTCTGGGGCCTGCGGTTCAGCCCGGCCTTCAGCCCCAGGCCAGGGCGGCCAGGAGGATGGTCCTGCTCCTGAGCCCTGTTAGAGAGGGCCCGGTGGTCCGAGGGCCGATTCAGAAGGCCCAGCCCGGGAGTCCGGCCGCCATGCGACAGCTCCAGCCCCTCTGAGGTCCCGGGGCCGTTGGCCAGGCCCGGCGGCGGCAGGGGTGCAAGCAGTGGTACGAGGCCCAATCGCTGCCTCCTCACACCGGCTGGCGGGCCGGCGGCCTAGATGCAGCTGGACGAGGTGCTGCCAGAGGTGATGGGGAGCCTGGTGCTGTCCGAGCCGCTCTTCAGGGGCGAGGGCCCGCCCTGGGCCTGCAGCCGCATGGACCAGTACCACAGGAAGATGAGGAAGCCTGCGGGCGGGTGGGCGGGCGGAGAGGGGCAGGGGCTCAGCCGGCTGGCAGCAGCATCCCCCTCTCCACCCTCCTCCTGCCTTCTCCCTCCCAGAGTTACCTCGACTGACTCAGATCCGCCCCCTGCCCTCCTCCTCCTCCTCCTCCTCCTCCTCCTCCTCCTCCTCCTCCTCCTCCGGCACCAGCACCGATGTGACCCCCGGGGGTCACCGACGCCACGCAGGCCACGCCTACCTTGGAAGGATGTCATGATGCTGAAGAAGTAGAGGACCACCAGCTGGAAGGTGCCGGAAGCGAAGGAGAAGAAGACCAAGGCCCAGGGCAGGCCGAGGACCAGGCTGAGGCCCAGCAGCGTCAGCACGTGGGGCCACTTCTCGGTGCGCGGGTGCAGCCGCAGGATCTGCACCACCATGGTGGCCAGCATGGCCGCGTTGAACAGGAACACCAGGCTGAAGAGGCCCAGGTTGGTGATGTGGCTGACCAGCGAGTCCCGGATCCAGCACCTGCGGGCCAGGACGGGGGCTCAGCGGGTGGGGGCTCCGTGCAGGGCTGGGGGGGAGGGTGGGGGGGGCAGTGGGGTGCAGGGGAACTGCTCTAAACACCAGGGGCTCATGGCGTGAAAAGTCACTCTCTCCTCAAGTCTCCTTTATTCCTTCTCGGGAGCCAAAGGAAAGGCTGCATTGGGTGCTAATGTGTATGGGTTTTTGGGGTGGTTTTTTTTTTGGTTTTTTTTTGCCTCTAACTCTTACTAGTCTCCCTTTTCAACAAAGAGCCAGCCTCCGGTCTACAGCCATCAGCCAGCATTTGGTACCAGGGCTTCCTTGTCCCCATGTTTGTTTGTATGATTACTTGATGACAGTGATGCTGGTTTTACCGATTATTACATCATCTGACAGTGATGCTGGTTTCCGACTTGTAGTTGATAATTTTTTTTAATAATATATATTTAAATAGACAGACGACGTAAAGGAAAATGTTGAAGCAAGTAATAATATAGATGGCACAAAGGTGAAGCACTCCCGAGGCCCAAATTTTTGCCCCCCCGCCCCCCAACCACCACCACAAACAGCCACTCACATGGAAGGATAGATGACACTCTCGGGGGTCCTTTGCACAGACAGGATGATGGAGCCGTAGTTGTTAATGTCCACCAGCGCCACCAAGGTCACCAGGAAGACGGGGAAGCCTGCGGACAGCAAAGGGGGATGCTCCATCTCCCACCCTGGAAGGCTCACCCCACCCCACCCCACCCCACCCCACCCCTCCCCCGCCTTTCGGTGGGGCCCAGGGAAAGAACGGCCTAAGGATGAGGGAGGAGGAAGGAAGGAGTGAGGAAGCCGTCGGAGAGCTGGGTGGAGAAGCACAGACGGGTGCCTGGTTTGGCCAGAAGCCAGGGCAGGTCCAGGGGGCCCCCCAAGACCCTGCACCCACGTACCCCAGCCCACGACGCTCAGCTTGAGCAGGTAGCCGGGGACGTAGGTGCCGAAGACCTCCACCACCAGCCGGTAGAGGTTGTAGCCCTCCAGGCCCATCCAGGAGAGGCAGGCGAGCAGGGAGAAGTGCAGGAAGATGGCGCTGGCGCGGCAGCCGGCCTCGGAGCCGGTCAGCGCCACCGGCTCGCTGAGCAGGAAGCTCACGTCCAGCAGGAAGACGGCCATCAGCAGGTTCATGTGCACCTTGATGGTGTAATCCCGAGACTTCCTCCTGCGTGGGGTGGGGCAGGGGGAATGGTTATCCTGTGGCCAGCATAGAAAGGGGCGGGGGGGGGGGGGGGGGACCCGCTCCTGCTCCTCCTCCAGGCAGCCTTCCCAGACTACACACACCAACACCACACACACACACACACACCTCCTGACACCGCCAAGCCATCTCCCACTTGTCCCTGTGCACCTACTATATGCATTTATTTTTTTAAATATATTTTATTGATTTTTTTTACAGAGAGGAAGAGGAATAGAGAGTTAGAAACATCGATGAGAGAGAATCATTGACCAGCTGCCTCTTGCACACCCCCTACTGGGGATGTGCCCACAACCAAGGTACATGCCCTTGACCGGAATCGAACCCGGGACCCTTCAGTCCGCAGGCCGACGCTCTATCCACTGAGCCAAACTGGTTTTGGCTACTATGCGCATTTAACAGAAGCCTTAACCAGACAGCAAAATAGACAAATCAGCCACTACAACCCACCAGATGCTCCCAAAACTCAGGGGTAAATGCCGTTATCCACACCCACAGATTTAAGGAGGGACTGCGGCGCCCAGGGGCCAGCAGCCGGCACCTCTCACGGCTCCCACAGCCACACCCATCTCCTGGGCAGGTCTCCAGGGTGGTGGGTCCCGGCCCGGGGGCCTGGGACGGGCCTCCCGCCCCTCCACCACCTCCCCGGTCCTACCTGGAGAAGAGGTAGGCGGCGATGGTGAGGACGCAGGCCAGGGCGGAGATGACGCAGCCCACGTAGGACAGGAGGGTCAGGTAGTGCTTGTGCACGGCGTCCACCTCCACGGAGGCCACCTGGTCCACGAGACAGGTCAGCGCTGGCCTCGGGGTGCCCCTCCACGGGCCCGTGGTCCGTGCACCCCCTCCCCAGGCTGAGCAGACTGTGGTCCCGTGAGTGCATTTTCTGGAGGGGCCTCTAGCTTGGGCCTAATCCCCAAGGTCAGGCCTAAACGGGCAATCGGACATCCCTCTCACCATCCGGGACTGCTGGCTCGTAACTGCTCACCTGCCTGCCTGATGGCCCCTAACTGCCCCTCCTGCCGGCCCGGTCGCTCCTATAGCTTAGCTCCCCAAAGGGCCCCTGACCCAAAAGGCCGGAGCCCTCACCAGGCACCCTCTTCTGTCTGGGCACTGATGCGTTTTCTACCACATTCAACGCAGGATTAAGGTGTCTGCGATGGAGGAAGTACCCGCCCTCGGGAAGAGCTGGAGGCCGCTCCTGTCCCTCAGACTCTGGGTTCTAAGATTCCGAGAACACGGACCTCGGACACAAAGCTTCTGAGATCTTGGGGGGATCCACACTGGACCTCGGTACCCCCTTGAGGGCTCCTCAGAAACACGCTCCTAGCCCCACCCAAGCCCTGAGGAATCAGCATCCTAGGTCAGGACCGGGAATCTGCATTTTTGTCATGTGCCAAAACGTGGTGATAAACAGCAGGTGTTTTAGAGACCAGCTCCTCCTTTCCTTAGGAGCTGTGTGACCTTGGGTAAATTGCTTAACCTCTCCGAGCCGCCCTTTCATCCTGTATAATAAAGAGGTCATATGCAAATGGACCCTCACAAGATGGCTGCCTACGACCAGGCCAGCTGGGGGGTTAGTGAGGGACAAACAAATGACTGAACAGCAGGCTACGTGGGGGGACGAGGCCAGCAGGGGGAGCAGTTGGGGGTGACTAGGCTGGCAGGGGAGGGCAATTGGGGGTGTCCGGGCCGGTAGGGGGGGGTCAGTAAGAGGTGACCAGGATGGTGGAGGAGGCAGTTGGGGTCGACCAAGCGAATGTGGGGGGGTTTAGTTGGGGGCAATTAGTCTGGGAGGGGGTAGTGAGGGGTGACTAGGCCAACAGGGGGTCGGTTGGGGGTGACCAGGTTGGCAGGGAGGGCAGTAAGGAGTAACCAGGCTGGCAGGGGGGGCAGTTAGGGGCCATCAGGCAGGCAGGCAGGCAGGTGAGCAATGAGGAGCCAGTGGTCCTGGATTGTGAGAGGGATGTCCGATTGCCCGTGTAGGCCTGACCCCAGGGATGGGGCCTAAACTGGCAGTCAGACAACCCCCAAGGGGTCCCAGATGGGAGAACATGCAGGCTGGACATGAATCTCACGCACCAGGCCCTTCGTCATCCGTCAGATGGGACCACAGGAGGCGCCCCGGGGGGTTGCTGTGAGGAACGGGTGACGGACGACCTGAGGCGGGACGGGCACCCAGCAAGCACTCACCATCAGGACCGCGAAGTAGGTCAGGTGGTCACAGAAGCAGGACGTCTGCATCTCCCTGCTCTCGGTCCTGCACCCGGCGCTGCTCCAGCTCCCTGTGCCCGTCACTGAGGAGGGAGGGGGCCGCACGGGGCTCTGATCAGGCCCCGGCTCCCAGGACCCCACGGAGCCCCCAGATGGATGACTGTACCATTCTCCCGAGCCTGTGCTCCACCCGGCAGATCCCTCATCTGCCGTCCCTCCCTCTTCCAAGCCCACCTTGTCCAGGAAGCCCTCCCTGATGAACCCCGCGTCTCCCTCGTCCCCACCCTCCAGACACCCGCCCGGGCCACACCCCTCCACACTCACATGCCGAGCCTTCCACCCAGAAGACACACTGCAGAGTCACGTTCTTCTGTGGGGACCAGAAGGGAGAGGGCCCCCATTACAGTTTACCCCTTCGTGGGCCAGACAGGAAGTCAGGGTCGGGCCACACACACACACACACACACACACACACACACACTCTCACACCCCAGTGGGTCCTGATTGGCTGACTGGCCAGTCAGTCATTTCGCCAAAGACCAGTGATTCAGGAAGAAGGGGGAAGAGAGGAAGACACGGCCCACTGGGACCCTCGTCTCCTCGGCTGGTTCGCTCACACATACCGGCTGCGGCTGGTGCTGGAAGGTGAGCACCACGGGCTCTGAGAGGTTGGCGACCTTGGTGTTGGGCACCACGATGCCCAACACCTTCTCCCCCAGGACTTGGCTGGAATTCTGGTCCTAGTTTTGAGGTGGGGGGGGAGAAGGGAGGGGTTCGTGGCTGAGAAGGAGGGCCCAGGAGTCTTCCCCCCTAGCCCCCCCAGGCCCTCTAGGCTCCCGTCTCTGGCATGCTGGGCCTCCCGTGGGGAACCTTGGTGGTACAGGTAGTCATTCACACCGTAGTGAGAACTACGCCGCTCCCGACCTTCCCTGGGGAGGTGTGCATGGTACAGCCTCATTTCTTTTCTTTTTTCTCTTTTTTTAAAATATATTTTATTGATTTTTTTTTTTTTTTTTTTTTTTTTTTTTTTTTTTTTTTTTTACAGAGAGGAGGAGAGAGGGATAGAGAGTTAGAAACATCGGTGAGAGAGAATCATCGACCAGCTGCCTCCTGCACACCCCCCACTGGGGATGTGCCCGCAACCAAGGTACATGCTCTTGACTGGAATCGAACCCAGGACCTTTCGGTCCGCAGGCCGACTCTCTATCCACTGAGCCACACCGGGTTCGGCTACAGGCCAGTTTCTGACTTTGCAAGGAAGGGCTCTGACTCCTGGAGGAGGGGCTGGGCTCCAGGCCTTCCTGCCTTCCGTCCGTCCTTCCGTCCGACAGACACGGCTTTTCCCAGGGTTCCCCTTCCCCTCTCCCCCGACCCCCGTACCTGGAACAGGGCTTGGCTGCTGAAGTCCACCAAGAGGAGTCTCTGGGCAGCCTCCCCCCTCCGGCCTTTGGCCTTCTGGAAGAGCGCGCGGGGCAGCAGCACCGAGTACTCCCGCACCTCCCCCGGGCCCTCCTGCAGACCGAGAGTCCTGGGGTCAGCCAGAGACGGGCCCCACGCCCCTCCCTCCTACCCCCCGCACCTCCCCCGGACCCTCCTGCAGACCGGAGAGTCCTGGGGTCAGCCAGAGACGGGCCCCACGCCCCTCCCTCCTACCCCCCTACTCCCGCACCTCCCCCGGACCCTCCTGCAGACCGGAGAGTCCTGGGGTCAGCCAGAGACGGACCCCACGCCTCCTCCCCGCCTCCCACACACACACTTTCCCGGCTGCCACCTGACTCCCAGCAGCCCTTCTCCCGCCTCCTTCGCTGGGCGCCAGCCTTAGCCGGGAAGCCTAATGGTCAGAGCCCAGGCCCCCAGGGGCACCCCGGCCTGGGACCATCTCCCGGTCCCCTGTCCTCGGGCTTCAGGCCCCAGTCCTGCCTTGAGCACCCTCCCGTGGGGGATGGGGGTGGCTCCCAGCTCCCCAGGCCCACGCGAGAGACCGTCTCACTCACAGGCATCCTGGGGGCGGTCTCTGTCCGCACGGATGTGCCCCCAGTGCAGGGACCAGGGCCCCCCACCTCTGTCCCCATCAAGGTGCCAGGAAGGGCCCAAGCCCCTGACGGAGGGGATTCATTGGGTCTGGCTCCTTCCTCCCTCCTCAGCACACATCTGGCCCTGGGGGCCGGGGAGGGGCGTGCTCACGGCCCCCACATCTGCCTCCTGCCCCCGGCCCCCCCGGCCGATCCCCAGCCCTGACCTCCTGCCCCGAGTGCAGGTGCAGGCCCCTCAGGCCGGCCGTGGGCTGGAGCTTCCACACGGTGGCGTTGACCCGCTCCTCCTCGAAGGACACCGTGTCCCCTGGGAACCGCAGGGAGGTCAGCTTCGACTCCAGGCTCTGCAGCTGCCTGGCAGGGGAGAGAGGCGGTGACTGCGGGGGCCCGGGGGCCGGGCTGGCCAGCAGGGAGCGGCCACAGGGAGACACGCCGGAAAGAGGCAGACGGGGAGAGGGGAAGGAAGGGGGTCAGGGGAGAAGAGAGAGGGGGCAGGAGAGAAACAGAGAGTGGCCTGCCGGAGGGACAGAGGAAGCAGGAACATCCGGGCAAACAGGAAAGGGGGGTGAGGGTGGGGGGCCTGCTCTGGGCCCCGTTCTGCCTGGACAGACCTACGCTGAGGCCGTGGAGCAGCCCTGCCATCCCCGGGCCTCAGTCTGCTGAGCTGTAAAATGGGCCCATCCTTTGTCCTTTACAAAGGGGGAGAGGGCTTGGGCATCCTGTCCTGGATGGCAGGAGTGGTATCTGCCCCACACTCAGGCAGGTGTGGGGTGTGGCCTGCAGGCTGAATCCCAGCACCTCCACAAGGAGATGGAAAGAGGAGAAAGTTCCAGCCCCAGGCGAGGTCTCCGCCCCAGCCTCCCACTCCAGTCTCCCCCCTCCCCCCCTGCCAGCCCAGGGCCCTCCCCTCCCCTCCCCCCATGCTGAGAGCCACACTCACTGGCTGGAGCGGGTGGGTGTGGCCGAGGGCCTCCTTGGGGCTTTCCCAGGAGCCTTCAGAAGCTGGCTGAGCTGCTGGAGGTCCCGTTTCAGCTCGCACATGTCCACCGAGACATTGTGGGAGGCCTTCTGGGGAGGATCTGGGGGGACAGACGGACCTAAGGCTTTTGGCTGAGTTCCCTGCCACCCTCATGATCCTCTCAATCCTCCCACTACTCCCACAGATTCGTTCCCATTTTATGGAGGGAAACACTGAGGCTCCCCTATTCACTCAGAGAGGCAGCCGGCCAGCCAGGAACCTCCAGCCTCCCCCCTCCCCAACGTCCCCCTCCCCCGCTGAGGGACATGGGGCGCCCCCACCCAGAGGCCCTACTGACTACACATAGGAGCTGGGAGGGCCCATGTCAGGGTCCCTTTAAGAGGGCCTGGGGGGTGGGGGAGGCTAAGGCACAGCATGTGGTGGCTCTAGGGACTCCACCCCCCCCAGCACCCCCATCCTGGGCCCCCTGTACCCCGGGGCTGCAGACTTGGGTGGACAAACGGGACGGGCACGTGTTGAGGGGCAGGGGCCTACCCTGTGCCATCAAGGAAGGCAGGCCCTGGGAGCCACATCGAATTTATAAGGAGGAAAGCCTGATGCTTAGGTGACTTGAAACCTTTGGCTCATTTAAAAAACGAAGACAAAAAATAACCCCCTCCAGGCTAGACCTGCCCTTCAGGCTGCTATTTGCCCCAAACCCTCCCTGGCAGGGGCAGAATCCCAGCCTAGGGGTGAGGCACCCCATCAACTACCCCGCCGGGTCTGCCGCACTGGACAGCGCTGGGCCAGAAGCCGGCCTGCTCGCCCAGCATTCTCATGGGCCTGGAGCTGCTGACATCTTCCAAATGCTGAGCCCCCCACCCCTACCCCTGAGAGGAGCCCCCACCCCCAGCCAGATCTGCCTGGAAGAAAGAGAACCAGGGAAATCCTAGACCCGCCCCCACATAAAGCCTCCAGCTCCTTCTGAGCACCCTCTCCTCCCTACACCCTGGCTCCCTCACTGACTGGCTGTGCAACTCTGTGCCTCTCCATGCCTCAGTTTCCCCCTCTGTGAAATGGGGACGAACATCCTCTGGCTCCTGACAGCCAGTCTCTTCTTCCCACTCGCTCTGCTCCCATCCTGTTCAGACTTCATCTCCCTTCAGCTGGACCTTTCCCGCAGTCTCTGGGTGGGCCCTGGCCCCCTCCACCCTCACCCCTCCCTTCCCGCAAACCTCCTTGGATCACACCCCTCCCCCCCCCCCATCCTCAGGCACCTTCAGTGGCTCCCCACTTCCTGTGAGCAAAGCCCAAGCTCCAGGAGCGGACCCCAGAGCCTGTCTATTTCCCAGCCTGCTTTGCATCCTTCTGCCCTCCCTGCCTCAGGGCCTTTGCACACGCTGCCCCGCCTGGCTTACTGTGGAAGGAGAAGGTGAAGCCGGCGGCGCTGGGCAGGCTGGTGTTCAGGGGGCTCCACCAGGAGCTGACGGAGGTGGCGAGCATGTGGGGGCCCGGGGCCAGGCTCTGCTCCTGGCTCTGGAAGCACAGGAGGCGGGAGGCCCGGTCGCTCAGCAGGAAGTCGTGCTTGCCGTAGAGCAGGTGCAGCTCCCCGGCGTGGCGGTTCCAGGAGAGGCAGAAGTGGTAGAGGCCCCGGGGGTCCGGGAAGCGGTGGGCGGCGACGCCAGGGAAGGGGGCGCGCACGGTGAGGGCATGCTCCGCGTTCTGGATGGAGATGTGCAGCGGCGTCTGCTGCTGCTCATAAATCAGTCTGCTCTTCTGCGTCTGGTTCCGCTGGCCGCAGAAGCGGAAGTCCTCCCGGGAGCCCGCAGCCTGGGCACCTGAGGAGGCAGGAGCTGCAGATGGGGCTCTGGGGTGGGGGCCGTGGGAGGGGCAGGCTCGGGGCCCAGGACACAGCAGGAGCCCAGGATCGGGGATCCACACACATTCCACAGGTCAGTACCTCAAAGGGTCTAACAAAAAAATGTGAGGGACCTTGCTCAAAAAATCATTGGTCCCAAAGTATGCTAAGAAGAAACTCCAAAGTCACCGTTTCTGAGGCACAGCATTTTTTTTAAATAGCGACCGGGTATCTGATGAGGCTGTGCTGCTAGAGACAGGTGTTTGGGGCATTGCACAAGGGTGCTCTGGCTCCAGAGTGAGCGGGCGGAAACCCAGTCCGTGGTCCCCGTCCCAAGCTGTGCATCAGGCAACGACATCTGCCAGAGAAAAAGGGGTGCCTGTGCCCTAGCTGTTTTGGCTCAGTGGATAGAGCATCAGCCTGTGGACCAGAGGGTCGCAGGTTCGATTCCAGTCAAGAGCAAATGCCCGGGGTTGCGGCCTCAATCCCCAGTGGGAGGCATGCAGGAGGCAGCCAATCAATGGTTCTCTCTCCTCACTGATGTTTCTATCTCTCTCTCTCCCTCTCCCTTCCTCTCTGAAATCAATAAAAATATATATATATTTAAAAAATAATAAAGGAGGTGCCTTGCCCTGGCCAGGGTGGCTCAGCTGGCTGGGGGTGGCCCCGTGCACCGAAAGGTGGCTGGTTCCATTCCCAGTCAGCTCGCATGCCTGGGTTGCAGGCTCAGTCCCCGGTAGGGGGCATGCAGGAGGCAGCCGATCAACGTTACGCTCTCACATAGCTGTTTCTCTCTTCTCCCTTCCTCTCTCTAAAATTCAATAAACTTGCCAAAAACCGGTTTGGCTCAGTGGATAGAGCATTGGTCTGTGGACTGAAGGGTCCCAAGTTCGATTCCGGTCAAGGGCATGTATATTGGTTGCGAGCACATCCCCAGCAGGGGGTGTGCAAGAGGCAGCTGATCGATGTTTCTCTCTCATTGATGTTTCTAGCTCTCTATCCCTCTTCTTTCCTCTCTGTAAAAAATCAATAAAATGTATTTTTTTTAATTCAATAAACTATTCCTTAAAAAAGGGAGGGGGAGGGACCTTTCTCTTTTCCCAAAGGCACCATCCCCTTGCTAAGCTGTGTCTGCAGGCCCGTACCTGCCCAGGGGCTTAGGGGGTGGACTGGCTGCTGTCAGGGCATGGGGACCTTTGATGCAAGTCCCAGCGGTCTCAGGAAAGCCTACCTTGAACCAGGAGGAGCAGACCCAGCAGCAGCGGCCCCGGCTGCACCTGCCCTCGGGCAGCCATCTTCCGCCTTCGGAGTCACCCTGGGAAGTCACTGCCTGAAAGACAGCAGGGGCATTAGCCAGGGGCCCGACCCTCAGGGTGGCTGAGCCAGCCCCGCAGAGGGAGGCCGAGCAGGGGGGATGGGAGGTGGGGAGGCAAATGTGGGAAGATCCCGGGGACCCCCCAAAAAAAATCTGCCAGAAGCTGAGCATCAAGAGGCTGTGGCTGGCCCCGCTGGTGCGGCTCAGTGGTTGAGCATCAGCCTATGAACCAGGAGGTCAGGGTTCGATTCCCAGTCAGGGCACAGACCCGGGTTGCAGGCTCCATCCCCATGGAGGGGCGTGCAGGAGGCAGCCAATCAAGGATTCTCTCTCATCATTGATGTTTCTTTCTCTCCCTTCCTCTCTGAAATCAATGAAAGATATAAATATATTTTTAATTGATTTTTTACAGAGAGGAAGAGAGGGATAGAGAGTTAGAAACATCGATCAGCTGCCCGCAACCAAGGTACATGCCTTTGACCGGAATCAAACCTGGGACCCTTCAGTCCGCAGACCAATGCTCTATCCACTGAGCCAAACCGGTTTCAGCTATAATTTTTTTTTAAGAGGCTGTGGCTGACCAGAGCCTGACCAAATCCAAGTCCTGGCTGCCACAGGACCCTGTCTAAGTCACAGAAAATGGGGCGCTCTGGACCCAGCAGGGCCAGAAGAGGGTCATCTTAGCTGGGATCTAGTGGGGAAGGCTCCCCAGTGCCCCCTGGAACCGCCGTGCCCCCGCCAGGCCTGGAGGAGACTCAGGAGGAAGGGGGCTCTCGGCGTCCTCCCCAGGAGTCTCACCCCCACCATCCCCAACACCCAGCTCAGAGGACACCTCCTCCAGGAAGCCTTCCCCAGATCCCTCTGCTGGCAGTCCTGGCCTCCTTTGGCTCCCACCACTGGCCAGGGCCCCCTTTGCTAGCCTCCCAGGAAGTGCAGGATGATGCGCTCCCTCCTCGGCCCGCCAGGGGGCTCCCTCCTAACCCATCTCTGTGGACAGCCTAGAGGTGGGAGAAGAGGGAAGGATCAGCGCGCCCACGGCGCCCTCTACAGGGGCCAGAGGGGAAGGGCGCTTCCATCATGACCACCAGGCTCTGGGCCTGTGGAACTGCAGTGGGACGTCCCAATCAGGAGAGACTCTCAACCTTATGGCTCAGGTGGGGGGTGGCCCAACTACCCTCCCACCTCCACCTCCACCCCGGGGTAGAGGGGGCCCTTCTGACCCCCCACGGCCTCTATTAGCTGGGCACCTACTCTCTGCCAGCCTCGGCTAGCCCACCCCACCCTCGTACCTAAGGAACCCCCTCCAACCCTGTGGCTGAGCCCGTGGGCCATACTGAGGTCCAGGGGGGCCATACTGAGGTCCAGGGGGGCCATACTGAGGTCCGGGGGGCGTTAAGTGACTTGCCCAGAAGCCAGGAGTTCTTCCTGCCTGGTCAGATCGGCAGCGCCTGGCAGGGAACCCGTGTGCCTGGCACGCACAGAGAGATGGCAGGTGGCTTTGGTCTCTGCCTCTGCCATCTGGCCCTCTGACCACGCTGGGTGGTGCCAGACGCAGACAGGCACCCTCATCCTGTGGGGAACTGCAGATGGTGATGGTGACAGATGCAGCCACCTGCCACAGGCCAGGCGAAGGGAAGCCTGGCAATCTAGGGGCACGCGAGGAGTGAGGGTTTGGTAGAAACCAAGGAGGGCTTCCGGGAGGAGGCGGCGTTTCCATGGCCAATTTGAGGGTAGTGTTAGAGGGATCGGTGACGCAGGCAAGAGCTCGTTGTCTCCTGCTGGGGCCGTGCCTTCCTCGAACTGACCTGCGCCCGCCCCCCCCCCCCCCAAGTTGGAGCCAGTCCTCTATGTGTAATGGAACCCTAATTTCTTGGGCCTCATCGGTCTAACCATGGGTCCCTCGGGCTCACCCTCCTGCTCTGGTGGCATCCCCAGACCCCTCCGAAGAAGGATGTGAAAGTGTTTTAGGGAACGCCACTGTTTCCTGGGCTGTGATTTTTCTGGTTTCACTCTGTGGCCGCTCTGAGCATTTTGAGCCCCTTTTGAAACCGCCTTCTGCCACCCAGACCAGAGGAAGGAAACACAGCATCCAGGACAGAAATATGCCCCTCCCGGACCCCCTCTTCCCTTCTCCTCTTCCAGCCGCTGCCGCTGTCTACCTCTGACTCCCTGTCCAAATGTCACCTGTCCCAGGCAGCGGCCTCTGCTTTATCCTGTGAACTCGTACCTCACACATCGCTTTGAGAATCTGGCCCAAGCTCCCCATGTGATGGCATTTGTTTTATTTTATGTTAAATGTATCTTTAGCCCTGAGCGGTGTGGCTCAGTGGATAGAGTGTCGGCCTGCGGACTCAAGGGTCCCAGGTTCGATTCCGGTCAAGGGCATATATCTTGGTTGCGGGCACATCCCCAGTAGGGGGTGTACAGGAGGCAGCTGATGGATGTTTCTCTTTCATCAATGTTTCTAACTCTCTATCACTCTCCCTTCCTCTCTGTAAAAAATCAATAAAATATATATTTTTAAATGTAACTTTATTGTTGGAAGTATTACAGATGTCCCCTCCCCACTGATCCCCTCCACCCCAACCATGTTATAGCCTTTATTTATTTTTTTAAAAATATGTTTTATTGATTTTTTTTTACAGAAAAGAAGGGAGAGAGATAGTGAGAAACATTGATCAGCTGCCTCCTACACGCCCTTGACCGGAATCGAACCTGGGACCTTTCAGCCCGCAGGCCGATGCTCTATCCCTGAGCCACACCGGTTTTGGCTGTTATGGCTTTTAGACTTGAGGCCTAGGGAGGGCCAACGACTTCCAGACATCGCATAGCCAGTGAGGACAGAGCTGGCCAGCGGAGGCGTTGTCTCTGGCACACTGGCCTTCCATGTGAGCTCCCACTGTCCGTGGACTAGGTCCTGTGGACTAGGTCCCATGGACTAGGTCCCAGGACAGGACAGCCAGCCTCTGGGGTCACGGCACGAATTAAATGAATCGATAGCCGTAAGGATTTAGAGCAGGGCCATGTGTACGGTAGAAGCCATCCGGGTCAGCGAAATATCCCTGTATATGCCCGGCCGGCGTGGCTCAGGGGCTGAGCATTGACCTAGGAACCAGGAGGTCCTGGTGCGATTCTTGGTCGGGGCACAGGCCCGGGTTTCAGGCTCAATCCCCAGTGTGGGGGCGTGTAGGAGGCAGCCGACCGATGATCCGCTCTCCTCATTGATGTTTCTCTCTCCCTCTCCCTCCCCCTTCCTCTCTGACATCCATAAAGATGTATTGGATAAATGTATGTCTCCGGGCTGTCACAGGCCCTTCCTGTGTCCCCCCCTTTCCCCGGGTCCCCCCCACTCCCGGCCCCATGGCCTGTCCCGTGGCCCAGGCGGCCCCACGCTGGGAAATTCTCAGAGCGTGAAGCTTCCTTTCCGGAGCTCAACCGGAAGATGGGAACCCCACCCAGAAAAGTCCCGTCCTCGCAGCCGGACCTGGGGCTGCCCGCGGAGCCCGGGGGCCAGGAGAGCATCCTGGGGACAGGAGGAGACTCCACCCCAGATCGGCCACCCCACACTGCCCACTGGGCGGGTTCAGTCAGCTCCCATGATGAAGGCCACACACCCCAGCACCTCCAGAATGCCCTGGTCCCCACCCCACGTGCCCCCACCTGGCTCAGCGGGAATGGGGTTGGGGGGCGGCCCTGTGCTCTGCAGGCTGAACCCTATACACGAACCTCCACATGGACCGCTTGGCCAGAACCCCTGGTCTCTGGACCTGGAGACCCATAGAGATGGACTGGCCTCGGCCATCAAATACCCTCAGAGTCAACCAACCGCTGGTCCCCCGGCCGGCCCCTCGTCCGCCCTCACGCAGCCCCGGCCAGGTGGCAGGCAGGACCTCGATGAGAACAGCAGAGCACCCTCTCCAGCGGCCCATGAACCCTCCGTGCCCCCCTGGAGGCTGGTCCCACTGCCTGGCCATTTCGCAGATGAGGAAACTGAGGCTAGGGCAGGGCTATCGGTTCCCTGGTCACCACGGCGGGGTGGGGGGCGCCAGGCGGGGCCCTGGGTCTCGCTCTAGAGAACTCCTTCTTGCAGATAAAGCTCCCCCGGACGCACATGCCCTTGGCTGGGAAGAGCCCCAAAGCCCAGGAGAGAAGGTGGGGGGCAGCATCGGCAGCGCAGAGAACCCCAGCCTGGGAGAGAGAATTTGGGGGGCGAGCCCCTCGGAGAACCCCACCCTCCAGCTCTCCTCCCAGAGCTGCTGCCCCTGACCTCACAGATCGGTTAGGCCCAGCCTGGCACAATGGGGGCCCCCTCACAGGGCCCCCCAGAATCGAGGTGGAGCAGCGGGTACCCAGGGCTTGTCTGAGCCGGGAGAAGGGGCTCCGGCTCGGGCCCAGCCCTGCCCCTCTCGCATGGGGAGGGGGCCGTGGGCAGAGACCCACAGCTCCCTTTCTCCCCCCCCCCCCCCGCCATCCCCACGGGGTCTGAGTCACTTCCTCTGCCAACCGTGTCCAGCCACGAGTCACCGAGTCACCGCCAGCCCGAGCCCGGCTCCTGGAAAAGCCATTTCCGCAGAGGACGGAGGTGGAAGTGAGTGGACAGGACCCGGCGGCCCTGGGGTGAAGCCTCTGCCGGAGGCCCCTCTCCCGGAGGATGCTGGTCCCCGCCCCGCTCCTGCCCCTTCCCAAGGCAGCCCTGCGGCCAGCCCGCCTCTGTGTCCCTTCGCCTCCCGGCCCTGCCGCCCATCCTCCGAGAGTCACTCAGACACACCCTCTCCGGGAAGCTCTGCCCAACCTCCAGCTGCCGCCAGAACGTATTCACCTCTGAGCTCTCGGGGGGAGGAAGAGGGGGGTGCCATGGCCCATTCCCAACCCCGTTGTCACGAGCTCACATCACAGAGCCCAAACCTGCCTGCGGTGTGGGCCAGACCCCCCCCCCAAGGGAGCTAAGTTGCATTTTCACACCCCCTCTCCCCCCTCCCCAGCCCAGCCAGGTTAGGACACAACAGGTCTGGGCT